GTGTTCCTCGAGAAGGGATTTTGGAGAATAACAGTGCTGTTTGGACAAAGGGCTGCAATTCCTGGATAGGTGCAGTTCTGTCTGAAGTGTGAGCGCTGGCGATGTTCTAGGTGATTGCAGCATGGCATCCTCCTTGGCCAGACACAGGACCCCGTGAGGCGTTAGCTTCTGTGCTCATCTGCAAGTGCCTCTTCCAAGGGAGAGTCAGCTCCAGCCTTGGTTCTCTGCTGCAGATCCTGCAGTCCCTGCTCATATCCTTTTTTGTCCTCTGGCTGCTGTAGTGAGAGCCTGTTACCATAGCTTCGCCTGCAGTGAGGACTGCTTGCAGCCTGGAGCACAGCAAAGGGCTGTGAACTGGGCACTTCCATTCCTCTGTGCACCACACCGTGCTTGGGCCACAGCTGGAACACTGTGTATTTCACACACAGTTTGTCCTTCCCAGGGCAGTGCTTGGCTTTGGTTTGCACACACTTTATCCACGGTGAGATGGGAGTGCATCACTCCTGGCAAAGCTGACCTTGCTGAGAGCAGGAAAATTGCATTTTGCGTTTGTTCCTCCTGCCTTAAGAGCATCCCTTGTTGGATAGGGGATAGACCCTTGCAGTGATCTGAAGTGCCAGGCTCTGCAGGATGTCACTGCCTCCTTCTGCTCCTCATATCCCTGTCAGCTTCAGTGTGTTTGGAAATGGGAAGGTCATATAAAAATGAGGATGGAAAATGATGTTTGGGTGCCGTGAAATGTTTTGTTATAGATAATTCCTCCCTTTCTTCTTCCTCCATTTTAAACTGTTGGTAGTTGCTGAACTGGTATCCCAAATCTGGGATTCCTCTCCACAGCTAAGTGATCTCTGCTCAAGTGTTTGTGAAGTCAAGGTTTAACTAGCCAGTTATTTCCCTCGGGGCTTGTGCACACACACACACACAGGATCTCATCACTTAATCCAAGGCTCTGGGCTGTGCCTTTTCTAGCAATGCTCTGGGACATTTGAGCTTCCAGCTGATTCCTTTTTGTTTTGCTGTGGGGCTTGATGATTGCAGGCCTTGGTTTCTTTGAAGGACAATGTGTGTGTGGCATTTCTTGTACTGTGAAATGTGGGTCAAGGGTAATAAGTAGAATTATCCCTGGGAGGTCCTGTGTATTATTTCCATGTGCTGTAGCAGGGGCTCATGCTCGGTGTGCTCTGCTCCGTGCTGAGCACGTCTCAGGTGCCCAGAGGTGTGCAGAAGTGGTGTCCTCTGCAGCACTGCCTGGTCTGTGGGCACTGGGACACCTTGCGTGCCTCTGGCATCGTAGCTGCTGACTGAATTGGCCCCTGGTGTCTGGAATACAAACCAGGTGCCTTTGTCTTTTTGAGGCTTACAGAGCCATGACCCCAGGATCACTGTGTGAGGCCGAACAGACTCAGAGTGAAGACCTTTGTTCAGCACTTTGGCCAGCTGAACAACTCCTTAAAGGCTCCAGAAGACCTGAACTCTGAATCTCCATCCTGTATGGTTAAAGGACAGGTCAGCTTTGTGGGGAATGGCATAAAGGAATGGATAGTAGCTCCTAGCCTGAAGTTACCCTCAGTCCTCCACCTGCCAGCTGGTGAGCATGGCAGTCTGGCCAATGTTCTCTGCAGGCAGCAGTCCCTCCCAGCTTTCACACTGATGCTCTGGGTCCTGATGAATGCATGCATCTCTGCTTCAAGGGCCACTGTTTTTCAGCAGTCCCTTGAGCATCTCTGGTCAAGAGCTGTCTGTCCAGCCGTGGTTAGGGGAGAGAAGATGATCCAGGCAACAGGTTTTTATGCCCAGGTAGGCAAGGCCCGAAGCAAGCTGCTCTTGTTGATCCTGCTCTGAGCATTCCCATGTCCAGAGCTCCCTTCCAGCTTTAATGCTTCTGTGGTTTTCTGACCATGCTGTGAAGTAGCTGTCCTGTCGTGGCCTTCGTAGGAGATGTGGTAGTTGCGTAATAAAAGAGACTTCAAGGACTTAAATGCATTAGAATATCAGAGAGTAATTCTGTGCTGAGAGATGAACTGAAGATTTTAATGAAGCCTTGTCCATATGTTCTGCATGTGGATTATCATCCTGTCTGCTCTTTCCATCCTCTTCCGCTCTGCTGTGCTATCTTTTCTTCTCAGCAGAAATAGCCTATTAGCACATCTTACACATGGGGTGGTTTCACAAGAAATTCCTGATGCTTCTCTTCCTGAAAAGCTCCCGTTTGCAAGAGAGAGAGACCAAGTAGGACATGTTTCAGTCTTCAGGGAGTCAGTGCCACTTTGTTCCTGCTGCCCAGCTTCCAGTGAGGAGGAGGAGGCGAGGGGGAACGCGTGGCCAGCATTCTCCACAGAGCTGACTTCAAGGAAACTCTCACCTCCTACACTCAGCTGGACAGGAGCACTGCTGGTGTCCTTCAGAGCCCAATGTGCTTTGTTTCTCAGCAGTGCTTTTGTTACAGCCTCTAGTCTTAATTGACTTCTAAGTCACGTCGTCAGGCCCCGGGGAGCGTTCACAGACCTGCAGTGCTGTTGCATGTCTGTGGAGTGTGTCAAAGTGCAGAGTGTGCACTGAATCCAGGTGTCCATTTCGTACAGAGGTGACACAAATGCGTTTCTCTGGACGAGGCTCTTCAGTCTCCCTGCCCAGCTGAGGCAGAAGGATGCTGATGCTCCCAGTTTGGCAGCAGGCAGCAGGTGTCTGCGCCGCTGCTCGCAGGGAGTCACACTTGGGGTTATGTCAAGCCGTAGAGACCTGCTGCTTTTTCTGACGTGTTTGTACTTCGCTGTTTCCAGGCATGAGTTGTCAGGAATTAGCCATGGAACTACTTTGGTGCCTACTGCAGCTTGTTCTCATGTCTGAGAATACTGACTCCTTGTCCCCGAGGAATTCCTGGGAAGATGCACGTTCTGGTGTTGCTTCGCTCCTTGCGCAGTAGGAACATTCCGTGCTTTCAGTTACAGGCTGTGTATTTCAGTGGTGTTTCATGTTTTCAGCTGGAAAGTGAGTTTGTTTCACTTTTGAAATGAAACACAAACCTTAATCAGAAGACTGGAATTTGTAATTTTTTCCCTTCTGTTTGTCTGCTGGAGTCGAACATTGTGTGGCACTCAGCTGCAGCCACACCGCTGCCACTCCTGGTCCCTGCAGCGCTCAGCTTATCTGCTTCCCTCTCTCCCTTCCAGATTCTCATCTCTTAGTTCCAGAGGCTGCTTTGTTCCAAGAGGAGAGATGTATTTGCAGTAGTCTGTGCAACGAAGCTTCCATTTTTTCCCTTGTAATTGGCTTCTTATTGCTGTTCACATTTTTTCCCCTATTTGATTACAGGACTCAGCTCCAGAGATAATTCCCCTCAAACTATTCTTTCTCTCCCAGACATGAACACCAAGTTTTGTAATGTGTGAATACCATTTTCAAGGGTGTCCTCAGAAACATACCCAGTAGAATACATTAAATTCCCTCTATTGTACCTCATGCATTAATGTTGTGTATAAATGTGGCAGATTTCTTCGGTGCTGACTCCAGACAGCGACTCCCTCATCTTTCTGTGCTCTCCTTCCTCTTTTCCCGAGGTCTTTGTGAAAGCACATCTCAGTTGGATGTGCTTGTCTGGGAGCATTAGTCTGCCATGAACTGGTGTCTGGCAGGGCCGCGTGCCCCGTGCAGCTCCTCCCTCAGGTGTGATGCCTGGCAGGCAGCAGCAGTGACCAGCAGGTCGCTGGCTGTGCTGTGCATGTGCTGTGTATTTTCAGCATTGACTCAGCCATCAAGCACATCACCAAGGCACATGGGGAGGCAAAGTTTGTCTGGCAAGGACTGGTGGGTCGAGGCTGAAGGTGATTTTGTTCCGTTGTGACAAAACTTTCTGAGGAGTTATGTGATGATACGTTTGTCTACTAAGCAGCAGCAGGACCCATTCATTCTTCTTACCACAATGTCAGTCCTGTTCTCTTGGCAGGAGTGGGTTTTTCCCAATCTGCACCAGGTTGTTTGTGTGGCATCCACAGAATGATACCAAATGGAAAACTGAAGCTTAGATAACATGTTTTTCTCCAAATCTCTCTTTTCCCACCCCCATCCTGCAGCATCTGCTTGGCCACGTAGAAGTCTCGAAACTAGGGATGTTCTGCAATAGGTAAAATCTTCTGGTATTGCCTTATATTTTACATAACACGTGTTTGTAAGTGCTTGACACCAGCTGTGTCCCTGGGAAGAGGTGGTGTCCTTGCTGAGGAGCAGGAGTCTCCTGTGTGTCGCTCACCCAGCGGTGCCCGCGCTCGGTCAGGGCAGCAGATTGCAGCCTCGGCAGGGCCCATAAGAAGAAGAGGCGGAAAAGAATACTGCTAATTCTGTAGGAATAATTGGGTTACCATGTGTTTCTGCTGCTCTCCACGTCTGGTTTTCCTGCGTGATTAAATGGGTGCAGATTACTGATTTTAATGAGCAATTCAGTTGCAGTGCCTCTGAGCCAGGAGGGGCCTGCCTGCTGGGCAGCCTTGTAGCACTGCGATAGCAAGATGCTTGTTCTGAAAATTAAGAATTGACGAGTGTTTAGTCTGTAAACGTGCTGTATCAGTGTACTGCCAGAATGCAGTCAAATAGAACACTTTACGTGTAGCCTTGCTCTGAGGTTTAAACCTGCTTTTCTGGCTCAAGTTTAGAACTGGAAGGTATTATTTTCAGTTTTACCTGAGAGACTAGGAAGACAGACTTGCATGGAATGTGAGGGAAACTATCTCATATCAGTTAGTTGTTGGGTCTTTTAAAGTCTTAAAATACCTTTAAAACAGACTCACAGAGTCAGGCTGGAAGGACCACAGTGGGTCACTGGTCCCACCTCCCTACTCCAGCAGGGCCAGCCCAGAGCTCATGGCTCAGGGCTGTGTCCAGAGGGTTCTGGAATAGCTGCAGTGAGGAGAATCCATGACCTCTCTGGGCAATCTGCTCAGTGCTCAGGGACTGCACAGGAAAAAACTGCATTTCTTTCTGTTTCAAAAGGTTTTCTTACCCCACAGTGTTCTTGGCGAAATTGCTGCAACGACTGTATGGTGAAACTTCATCTTCCCTCGTGCACACCTCGAGCAACGACTGTATGGTGAAACTTCATCATCTTCCCTCGTGCACACCTCAAGTGGAGGAGAGGAGGCAGGTGGTGGGAATCTGGGACCCAAAGCCGGAGAAAGCAGTTTGGATAATGCTCAGACTTCGCCAGCAGATGCTCCCACATCAACTGGTGCACCCTGCCAGTCACTTCAAGGTGAGGCTGCCTCGTCCTGGTCTGGTAATAGGCTTTTAAACACAGCTCTTGGCTTCAGATCAGTGAGATACCTACTTGTGTCATCTGTTGATCCCCACATAAATCTGAGTGTCAGTGCTAGTGGTGCTCAGTGCCTGGAGGTCAGTGCATGAGTCTCGTGAAAACCCAGAAATACTCTTCTTGTATATGTGAGTGCAGCATTTAGCAGTAGCAGATCTGAAATTTGAGGGAAGCTAATACTGTCTTTGTAATGTGGAACAGTGAGACGGTGACTTACACTGGTGCAGCTCTGCTAGGCTGATCCACCCAAAGATCTGTGGGAATCCCTGGGGCAGCACTTCCTC